CCAGAGACCCTGGAGATTTTGGGGACCCCCCAAAACGCCGTCGGGGAGACCCCGGAGACCCCCCAAAGCACCGGAGGAGGGACCCCCAGGACCCCCTGGAAGACGAGGACGCGGAGCCCAGGAGGCACCACCGACGAGAGGACCCCAAAGACCCCCCAAAACGCCACCGGGGTGACCCCAGAGACCCTGGAGATTTTGGGGACCCCCCAAAACGCCACCGAAGTGACTCTGGGGACCCCCCAAAACGCCACCGAAGTGACCCCAGAGACCCTCAGGACTCCCCAAAACGCCACCGAAATGACTCTGAGGACCCCCCGAAACGCCACCAAAGTGACCCCAGAGACCCTGGAGATTTTGGGGACCCCCCGAAACGCCACCAAAGCGACCCCGGGGACCCCGGGGACTTTGGGGACCCCCCGAAACGCCACTGCGGTGACTCTGGGGCCCCTCAGGACTCCCCAAAACGCCCCCGGGGTGACTCCGAGGACCCCCCAAAACGCCACCCAAGTGACCCCAGAGACCCTCAGGACCCCCCAAAACGCCACCGAAATGACTCTGAGGACCCCCCCAAACGCCACCAAAGTGACCCCAGAGACCCTGGAGATTTTGGGGACCCCCCGAAACGCCACCAAAGTGACCCCAGGGACCCCGGGGACTTTGGGGACCCCCCGAAACGCCACCGCGGTGACTCCGGGGACCCTCAGGACCCCCCAAAACGCCACCGGGGTGACTCTGGGGCCCCTCAGGACCCCCCAAAACGCCACCGCGGTGACTCCGGGGCCCCTCAGGACTCCCCAAAACGCCCCCGGGGTGACTCCGAGGACCCCCCGAAACGCCGCCGAAGCGACCCCGGGGACCCTGAGGCCCCGGCGCCGTGCCCAGGTGTGCCCGGGGCTCACCTGTCGGAGCTGGGCTGGGCCCTGCTGCACTACCTGTCCTTCCGCCAGCGCGGCTCCTTCTCGCGCCTGGCGCGGCTGCAGCGGGAGCGGGCGGCGCTGCCCATCGCCCGCTACCGCCGGGAACTGGTGGCACTGGTGGCCCAGCACCAGGTGCTGGTGGTGGCCGGGGACACGGGCTGCGGCAAGTCCACCCAGGTGCCCCAGTACCTGCTGGGCGCCGGCTACGGCCAGGTGTGCTGCGCCCAGCCCCGGCGCGTGGCCTGCGCCGCCCTGGCGCGCAGGGTGGGGCTGGAGACCCTCGGCAGGTACCAGGTGAGCACGAACTGGGACAACTGGGGGCACTGGGAGGCACTGGGAGGGCACTGGGACGTGTCCAGGCGCGCAGGGTGGGGCTGGAGACCCTCG